ATTGCACGGATCCCTCTTTTCTCTACGGCTATTATCGATGATGAAATCGATGCGGCTACGCCAGTTCCTCATCGGCTCGTCTCAGGTCACTTCAATGGGACAACAACGAGGTTCAACATCTACCTTCCGCCTCGTAGCAAGTGGGAAGGTCGCTTCTTCCAATTCGTATATCCTTTGGTTACCGAAGAAGCCAAAGATGAGACCATCGCCTTCTCGCTCGAGAGCGGCGGTTATGCCGTCCAGATCACTGGAAGCATCGGCTTCCGAGCGGATGCGGCTGCGGCCAAGGTTGCCAGGCGCGTTGCTGCTGAGTACTATAAGTCGGGCTGTCGGCACATATACGGTTACATCTACGGTGGCAGCGGCGGGTCCTTGCAGACCGTCGGTGCGATTGAGAACTCCCGCGGTGTCTGGGACGGTGCTGTTCCCATGATCCAAGCAGTCCCTGTTTCTTTTCTCAACAACCCTGCCATACGCGCGCTCTCCGGTCTCGTATTGAAGAACAAGGCCGCCCAAATCGTAGACGCTGTCCGGCCTGGCGGGGGTGATCCACGAGAGAATCTGACCGCAATGGAGCGAGCTGTTTTTGACGAGGCGACGATGCTGGGTCTTCCTCTTGGAGTGTGGGAGGTGTTCGACCTCGTTACAAACTCGGCTGTATTGGCTTTGTTCAGCGATGGGGTTGCATCACACGATCCGACGTACGCCCAAGATTTCTGGACCGCACCTGGGTATCTCGGTACGGAGCAGTCGGAGCTCGGTGACTTGATCAGAGCGCAGGCTGTGAATCACACGGCGCGCATCAACAGCATCGAGAAGGCCGGGAACCAGACCATTCGTCTCTTGCTGGACAGTGCACCTCCTACGCAGCCCGGTCTTCGCTTTGAGCTTTTCAATGATCAAGGGGAAAGTTCCGGCGCCCTCTTTGGCAATTTGGAGGGCACAACTTTCACAATCGAGGTAGACAAGAATGAGGACGTCTTCTCTCTTGTTAACCAAAAGTCTACAGTCCAGGTCGACAACTTGCTTTTCATTGCCGTACACGCATATTACCGTCATCAGATTCCCAAGAGAGATGGGTTTTACGGCTTCGACCAATTCAAAGACGTTACCGGCCAACCAATTCATCCCCAGCGCTCAGTCGATGGTAGCCTCAACGCAGCCGAGTCAACGAGCCAGGGACGATTCACGGGACAAATTCAAGGCAAGATGATTGCCGTCAACAATCTTCTCGATTACGATGCATTCCCTTGGCACGCGGACTGGTACCGTAGTCAAGTAGAGAGCGCACTCGGTCATCGTGCCAACGACAATTACCGCCTGTGGTTCAACGAGCACGCTGACCACACCTTCGCCGCCGGGTTCGATGAACGCCTCCCAGTTGGTGCGCGGGCTGCACGTATCGTCGATGCTTCCCCCATTGTCCACCAAGCGTTGCGAGACCTCAGCGCCTGGGTAGAGCAGAGCATCGATCCGCCGCCGTCCACAAATTATACAGTTGTTGACGGTCAGGTTCTGGTTGCTGAGGCTGCTTCGCAGCGATTTGGAGTACAGCCTACGGTCATTCTGCAAGTCAATGGCTCCGACAGATACGAGGTTGCCGCCGGCACGCCGGTAACTTTCGAGATGTTCGCTGAGGTTCCCCCCGGCACAGGCAAGATCATTGCGACGGAGTGGGATTTCATGGGCCGCGGGGAGTTTACGGCGGTGCCATTGACTTCTGTCGATGAGTCTGTCGACGCCTCGGTCCGCTTTGTGTACGAGAAGCCGGGGACTTATTTCCCTGCCATCAAGGTGACTGCGCACCGAGATGGCGATACAAAGGCTGTCTTTGGACGGGTCTCCAACCTTGGTCGGTGCCGAATTGTGGTCTCCTGATATTCCGTGTTTCAAAGCAAGTTATAGATGATGACCATTGAATTCTTATCATGGTCTTTTGCTCTACAAACACATCCATATCTTGCTCTGTTTCAGTATCATGACCGTCGCTCACCCAGGATGCACAGGACACACAGACTGATGTCCCTGGACAGATCGACATTGGTGCAGGAAACAAGCACTGTTTGAGCTGCAGGACGGTATGTAGAGTGTCTTGCACCGACTAGATGATATCTTGATGGTTTTAAGGCTTAACGATCACACCCCCTGCATTGCGGTGTCTTCGGAAGAGGCATTACTGGTCGTCCTTCTCCATAGCGGATCAAATGCCCCGGTCCAACTTGTCTTGTTGGAGTGTTACCCCTGGAGCCAGAAACGACTCTTCTGCCGGGTGATGCAATCATGATTAGGATAATGGTTAAGCTCCGGCGAACTAAACCTTTAGCCGCAGTCCAGGCGCGCGATTTGCATGGCAGACTCTCGACATGATCGTCGTAAATCGAGGGGTTGGCAATAGCCAACTGCACCGATGATCTGTTAGTCCGCCCCGAAGTGAGCGGCACATTCATCATGTCGTCATGCCCCAGCTCAGGATCCTTGATAGCTGTTGGAGGCTAGGCGAGGTACTTAATGACAGCAACTAAAATGATTAAATGGGCAGGCGACGGCCTGGAAACAGCTCCATCTCGAGATTATTCCTTTCGTCTGCCTCTCGTCGTGCCAAGACCCCGCGCTTCACAGTCGCCCGTCGCTTACCTTCTCCAGACTCATCGTTTGGCACACAGCAATATGGCCCCAGCCCACCCCTTCTCTGGACTACCCCTAGTCGGCCGCTTTGTATCGCCAGCAGCACCGGCCTCCGACCTCACACCGACCAAAAGCTTTCCTCTCGCGGTGCGAGATATCCTCAAACGCCAGGCCACAACAACCGTGGTTGCTGAGCCCTCCGACGGAAACGGTGGCGGTACCAATCTGAGCGGCGGCGAGATTGCCGGCATCGTCATCGGCTCTATCGTTGGAGTGCTCCTCCTCTTCTGGATTGTTCGATCCTGCGGCATGTGGGGACAGCCTGGTCTCTGGGGCCGCGAGCCATCGCCGCCGCCAAGACGGCGCCACAGGGGTCGGTCGAGCCATGGCCACCATCGTCACCAGTCGACTGCATCCCGCCGACGCTCACCTTCTCACGGACGGACGTCGTACGAAGTCCGGTACTCCCCGAACATTATGCGTGAGAAGAGCCGGTCCCCGCGCAGGCCAGATGTTGTCTACGATCACCGCCGCGGGAGCCGGGGCCGGTCGAGAAATTATGATTACGACTACTGAGCTGGAAAGATATTGATGTTTTGTATGATAGTTATGAGACATGATGAGGTGCCAAGGGTATCGAAGAGTAGTCGTAAATATGGCAATTTTGGAGCTGGAACATATCCTGAAAATATTGCAAACCGGGAAAGCTTTTGTACCTGAGTGCGGTACTGAGTCTGATGGTATACATAATCAATATCCCACAGCGTGGCTTTTTTCAACACCAGCATCATTTATTCGTCGTGTACACCTGAAAGCTAGCTTGCATATACATCGGGGCGTCCACACATCATCTCTAGTACATGTACCTCCAGGTCAGCGCTCTATCTCCCTTGCTTGACAGTTCTTGTGCTGTATAGTGACTGTCCTCGCCGGCGGCCAGTTTGCGGTCGCGCTTCTTGTTGATGGTTGTATAGCTAAAGATTAGTATCAATGCCGCAATGATGCCCGCGCAGATGAAGCCAATCTCGAGCGCATGCCCGAGGATATAACGGGGCGAATCTTCGCCTCTGTAAAAGTTTGACGCCATAGCCTGATGACTGCGTTAGCTTTCGTTCAAAGCATGACATGTGGATGAACCTACGCCGCCGAGGTTGCCAACGCCAATCTGGATGGCCATGCCTGCACTTCGCTTGTAGCTGCCGGCCCAAGTTGTTCGCCAGCCAAGTAATGACACCAGGGAATGCTGGGTAGATGGCACAGGCCGCAATGAAGACACCTGCATAGACAACGCGGGGGTTGGCAGAGGCCAAACACATGGAGAAGCCGACGATCATCACGCACAAGAAGCCCACGATGAAGGGACTTCGCTTGCCGACCTTGTCGGAGATGTAGGCAATGATGACCGCCAGAATCGCAGCGGTGATGTAAATCGGGACTGTCATCAACTGCGCCGTGCTCGATGTGTATCCAAGATTGCGGATGATCGTAGGTAGGAATAGGCTGATGCCGTAAAGAGGGCAAACAATCTGTGAATACTGAATCAGTTTTGTTCCGTCTTTGTTCAGTGCTGTTCTTGAATCTTACCCCCCAGTACACGAAGATGTTTACCCAGATCTGCCAGTCCTTAAAGGCATCGCCGACATATCTCCACTTGAATTCCTCAGCTTCGGGGACAGCGACCTGGCCGATCTGCTTGCCCTTGATTTGGCTTTGATACTTTAGACGAAAAACGACGAAGGCGCGCTCCTCTTCTGATAGGAAGGAGGCTGTCTCAGGAAAGTCATGCAACGCAAAGAATGCCCACACGGCGACGAGAACAGTGACGATGCCCTCGAGAATGAAGATCCAACGCCATCCTTCCAGACCACCAACACCGTTCATCTTTGAGATGCCGAATGCCAAGAGGCCGCTGAACGCGCCTGCAATAGAAGCTGCGGAGAAAAACAGCGCCTGACGGAACTGGATCTCGTGGCGACAGTACCACATTGTGAGATAGTACTACATGGATCAGTTTGCGTGATGTCTCAGGCAGCCGTCAACTGAACTTACTGCTACGCCAGGGAACAAGCCAGCCTCGGTTACTCCCAGGAAGATACGAGCAATGAGAAGCCCGTGGTAGCTTTGCACGATGCCCATGAGAGTCATCACAATACCCCATGCGACCATGATGGTGGGGAGCCAAACGCTGGGCCTGAGCTTCTTCAGTAACAGATTGCTTGGGACCTCGAAGGCGGCATAAGTAAAAAAGAAGACAGTGAGACACCAGTTGTACTGGTCATCTGACATGTGTAGGTCTTCCTGAAGGCCTTCGATCTTGGCATTGCCGATGTTGCCACCTAGACACAAGATCAGCTCTACGAAGCTGCCAGAGACGGCAAGGAGAAGAGGAATCTCACGGTCCAAAAATGAAAGCAGGTACAGAAGCGCCAGCATGGGAATAAGACGAACGTCCATCTGATACAGGGTCAGGCCGGAATTCTTGTCCTTCGTCATAAGGAAGAGCACACCTTTCTGAGGACTTTCTTCTCGTCTAGATGCGCAAAAGACTCGAGTGTCGTGCCGGGGGCGGTCGCGATGCCGTCGATGCGGTCTTTTTCGCTAAGCCCATGGCCATCTTCTGTCTCGGACACGTCCGGCTTCTCGGTATGTTCATTGGAGGCCCTCGTGATGCTCATGTTGGGCGAATGGGACAATATTCAACTTCGGAGCCGCTGAAAGAATAGAGGAGCCGTAGCGGATAGTCCATGGTAAGAAGTGTACACACTTACCGCAGTTGGGCATCTTTCCCTTTAAGCACGCCGTCGTGTTGCTTTTCCACTACGACGGCGGTCAACCTGTTGGTCAAGTGCACAACCGTCGCGAAGAGGATCGGCAGCCAGCATCATCAGCGGCTTCTAAAAGCCCGCGAGCCCACATCCGGGATGCGTAGTCGCCAATGAAGTATGGCTGGGCTGTCAGTCTGGGGCCCCGGATTGCGGGCTTAGAGGACCTAGTAGACGTTCCCCCGCACGCTGCCGCCTGTGTTGGTCAACGATCGGAGGGAAAGCCGCTGCAAGACGGCGGAAAGAGGCCGCCTGGGCGCTGTCGCTCAACGTGAACCCCCGTGGGGACGAATCATGGCGAGCCATCAATGTACACCTACACTGCATATGCTGAATCGTGGTGTGGTGGATGGCAGCCGCCAAGTGATGTCATGGGGTTGCCGGCGAAGGTATTCGTACCAGCCGCAGAACAGCTCTATGGAGTCGGATACAGAGAATCTAGAGGCGCTAAAGACTAAGGGTGCTTTCAGTAGTAGCCTTAGCGAGCGAGTGAGGCAGCGCCTCATGCCGTCATAAACGCCTTGCCGTCATCGTTGCCGCTTGGTCACTCGCACTACACTGGGAGCATTCCTCATCGACCCATGATACCCATTGATCTTTAAGGGCGCATCCAGAAGCATGCGTCAAACCTGCATTAGACTGCTACTATTTGCCAAAGAACGTGTGCCATCGCTTGATTGAATTTTGACGAAGAAACTTTCCTCGCAATCACGTCGAAGCCGCCCTGCTTATAGTAAGCGCCGCCTCGAGCTATATACCCACCAATCGATCAATGAGAGCTCACCTGTAGCAGGAGTCTGAGGAGGGTCACTATTCAAACTTTCAAGCAGTTTGAGTCAAGATGTCTGAATGAAAGCCTAACAGTCGAATCCCTTTTCGTGTAAGGAGGGACTTACGAAACGTGTTTGTTTGGCAGAAACCTATATACGGAATGCAAGGAGCTGTATGTCCATCCATGTAGTCGTCCGTGGGAGTTCACCATCGCAAAACAAGTCATAACCTTGAGACCCGCACTCGCGTCAGACCTGCTGCCTATCTGAAAAGGAAGTCAAGCTCTCGTGACAACCTCAGATGGCCTGCACTAGCCACATGCAAACATAAATAAAGTCGTTTTCCATTGTCGAGTTTTCATCGCTCTCGACTATCAAGCACTATGCCTAGGTCAGGAGAAGACAGATCGGAGAAAACGCTGCCTCTGTTGAACCAATATAGGGGAATAGCCTGGGTTGGCGATCACCGTATGGGATTTGCCGCTCTCGTGATTACGAGGCTTCATGGCTACGTGATCGCAGGCGCAGCGAATCTCGGATCTACTGATCGACGAGATCACAAAGACAGTTTCAACAACAATTGCAAGTCTTGCACCGCCAACCCGCCGATTCAGAGCTCTCAGGCACAGTCAAAGTCTTGGATAAGGGTTCAGATGAGCAGTGAAGCCCTCTCAACAGCCCCACTCCTACTATTGGGGAGCCCAGAAATCTGATGCAAGGGTAGTATTCAAGCTCATGCCACACAGAGGCAAATACTCTACTGGAAAGCGGTCTTTAACAAATTTGTGAGATTCGAGAACCTTTACACTGCGCCTGAACCTGGTGACATTCAGCAGAACAGCGTGTTTGGAGACGTGGCTCTTGAGAACACGCAAAAGTCAGAGCCTAGGCGCTACGCGGCGAATCGAGTATATTGTATTCAGAAAACTCAAATAGTATAGTCCTCCTTGTACGCCATCCGCCATTGGCTCGAATCACGCTGGGCTCTGAGCCTCACGTGGCACGGCGCGACTCCATTCGGCTAAATACTAGTAAGCTCGAAACCGCTCTCTCTCCTCTCCCCAAGCGCCGGATGCACTCAGACCTGGAAGAAGGGCGCGCCGACGACCTTGGCAACCTCCTCGGCGACGAGCTTCTGGATGGCCACGCCGGGGTGGTAGTCGTTGAACCATAGGCAGCTGGTGCCGTCCTCGTTCCAGCAGGTAGCGTCGGGGGCGCCGTAGGCAGTCGGGTTGGCGAGCGCCTTGTCGAAGGGCAGCGCCGTGTCGACGAGCCAGGTCTTGGCGTCGGGGTTGGCGGCCTTGAAGGCAGCGAGGTGCTCCTGGATCAGATCGTTGTACAGGTCGATGGCGGTGGCGACGGCACCCGTGTTTGTCTGGCCCTGCGAGAGGAAAGCAGGGGTTCTCCAGGTGGCTGTCGTCTGTTAGTTGAGGGCTGTTCCAATCTTCATATCCGAGGGGGTGAACGCACGGGGGACGCTGAGGATGGCAAATTGCCTCGCGCCGGCGTCGTAGACGGTCTGCAGGAGACCAAAGTAGCGAACCATGATGGTCTCGTACCGCTGTTGAATGTCGGAGAACCAGAAAGTGTTACCGACATCATTGACGCCGATCCAAACACCGACAAGCGTGTTGTCGGCCTCCCAAGGCGCCCAGGAGGGGTGAGGCTCAACGGCGAGGTTGGGGACGAACAGATCCTGGACCTGGTCCTCGAAGCTCAGCACCTCGGGCGCGTAAGGCGTGACCAGGTCTGCTGCCGTCGTGGCGCCGCCGTAGGCCAGGTTGTACGATAGCAGCACATCCTTGTTGTACTCGGTCGCCGCGAAGGCGATCCAACCCAAGCCGCCGCTGGCCGTCCAGCCTGGCAGAGGCGGGTTGCCAAGGGGGTTCTCAGCCGTCGGCTTCGTACCGGAGAAGCTGAAGCCGCTCTGCGAGTAGGAATCACCGCTACGACGAGGTCAGCCACGAGTAGAATCGAGCCGCACCCGTGGCCTCTTTTGTCATTCTTCCTTGACTTACAAAGTGATGAAGTATTTTGGTCCCGTGGGGTTGGTGGGCACTGAGGAGGTCGCGGCCGGAGGGTGCGAGGAGCAGGGCGAGCCGCCGGCGATGCGGGCAGCGCCGACCGCCGAGGCGAGGCCTGCCATGAGGAGAGTTGACGCGCCCTTCATTGTCGGATGTGATGCTCAGTGTTCCTTCACGCTGACGACGATAATTGTGGCTGGTTGGCGGGACGTGGACATCGTGACTGGCTATATACTTCTCAGGAGGAGAACATGGTCGTCACACTCCGCGGCATCGCGTTCCGGCAACGGATACGGCCAAGCCGACATATATTACCCATCCCATGACGATCGTCATTGGAGGAGGTGTGTTAAACGACCTGGCGACTGTTGTGATGTGAGCGGGAATCCATCGATGTTCCTGCATGGCAAATTGAGGGACCCTCTGCGGGGGTGCGGAGGGGCGCCATCCCGTGCCCAGAAAGGGGAAGGCCGGCCCGCGTTCAGACCCTGTAGCGGCCAACTCTACTACCGGCTGAACGGATCAGGCGCGGGGTGGGAGCAAGAATTGAACCAGATGGACGACGGAGCTGGTTCCGAATCAATGCAACGGTTCCTGGACCTGTAGGTTCTACCTGCTCTGATCATATGTGGTGGCCCGGTTCAGGCGAGCGATGTCGCGATCCGTCAGGGTGGACAATGTCAGGGACAATGTCAGGGTTGACGATGCCACGAATGACCTTGTTTCAGTCTGAGTGTCTCCTCGCCCCGAAAGTGCCATTTTTTCTCCGCCTTGACCGTCCCCCCCCCCTTGTCTGCCGAGTGTGATGGGGCTGCGAATCAGGTTGGCGAGTGGAGAGAAGCAGCTGTCAAGGAGAAGCCAAGATGCTAAATTCATCGTCTTTAAACTGGCAGGCACATTACATCCACCTACTTGGATCCGCATATTCCGGGCTCGTCAAAACGGAAATACGTTGGCCACTGTCAGCCCTTTCAACCGTCGAGGATTGCGTCCATGTCCCGTCGCAAATCCGCCAGCTGCTTACCCAGACTATCCTCACGACTCTTGATAGCCTGAAAAGAAACGTCTACCACGCCAGAGAACATGGACCCATCCGAACTCCTACCGCCTGATGACCCACCGGGTCCCAGGCTGGCGGCCGCATTCCTTAGCTGCGACAGAAACTCTTCGGCCAGCTGAATGGTCAACGACATCTGCAGCGATGGCGTCGAGTCGACAGCGAATGAACCAACCGTCACGTCGGGCAGCTTCCAGTACCGCAGACCGTCCCCAGCTTCAAGCTGCGACAGGTTTCCATGAATACAGCTGAAGACCTTCTGGTACATGTCCAGCAGCCGAACATAAGTCGAGAGAATGAACATTGACGAGCCAGGATCGGCCTTGCTATTGAGAGACTTGCCGCGGCTGGTCTTGGTGTCAGGGGCTGCTTTCGCTGGGCCATCTGAGGGCGTGATGTCCTGCACGGCCTCAGCGAACTGCTGAGACAGTTTGAACATCTCATCTACGGGGAACGGGACGGTGCGGTGCCTTCCAGAGCCGTTGCCATGATGCTGCGAGCTTTTGCCATGGTGCGATTTGCCGTCCGCACACTCAATCTGGTACGGCAATGCAGATGAGAGCTCAAAGAGCCTCGAGTTGATGTCTGATAGTCGAGGCATCCAGTGACCTGCCGAAGAGGAAGTGGTTTTGCCGGCCGGTGATGACTTGAGGACGATCTGACGAGTTTTGAACTTGCCGCGAGGCTTGGACACCCGCGGTGAAGGGCGGTCACTAGAATGTCGCTGGCTCAACGTGGCCTGCTGTTGTTGGTTGTGGTGTTGCTTCTTGCTGGTAGCAGAGGCTGCCGTCGTCGGTGTGGAGGCAAGCTGGCCGCCCTCGGTTTCGGTAGGCGCGCGTGGTGGGACAGAAGGTAGAGGAGGGGGAGTATGAGATACCAGTGTGCTGGCATGCAGGTGCTGTGGGAGCCACGTATCGGTGATGTTGTCCCTGGATATAAGATGTTGGGAGAGGCCAGGGTGGAGTTGTGAAGGGTGGTGATCGACGACGACGGTATGCGACGGGTAGAGGGCCGCAGCCGGGTCAAAGCCGCCGCCGCCAAAGGCATAGTCGGCGATGTTCATCATCTGGTCGTGTGTGACGGTGCCGCCCGATGGATGCGATTCGAATTCACCGCTCATCGGGAGACCAACTGAGGCTTCGGCGAAACCGTCAGAATTGGTTGTCGTTTTAGACAAAATGAAAGACATTGGCAGACTCACCAAAGTCAGGTGGCACAGGAAGGTTCTCGCTTTCCGTCCGCTTCCGCTTGGGTGATCGGCCTCCCTCGAGCAGCAGCGCTGTGCTCGAGCCAGAAGTGCCTGTCGTCTCCTCCAGCACAAGAGACTCGACGGCCGTCTGTTGCTTTCGGTATCGCAGCGAAGGGCTCGATCTGCATTCGGTTCGGAGCCGGAGGCAGCGCTCGCAGGCTTCATCGCCGTAGCGCTTACAGCTGAGCTTCTGGGCGTGGCAGCGATCGCAGGCTTTGCGATTGGGACAGTCGCTCATGGCTATGGTCATGGCCATGGCGTGTGGGCGACATTCGGTCGTGAGTGTGGTGGGGGATGGAGGGTGTAGTCCCCTTCCAGATGGGCCAATATGGAGTAAAATAGCAGCCTGGCTCCAGCCCCTGGACCATGTGTCTCCTGCTGTTCCTTGAGAAACTGAGACTACCCCGGGTGGGTGCCGTTGAACCCAGCATGTGCCTGATGGAACATGACCGAGGGTCGAATCCACGCTGTCGCGCCCGGTCCATGAGTTGGCCAGCCCTCGCCCAAGTCGTACTCCGCGTTGGTGGACTCGACTGACCGAGTGCCGCGCAACCATGGAAGGAGGAAAGACCCAAGGGTGGGGTGGTAATGGGTCGACCTTGTACAACATGGTACAACATGGCGAATTTCCTTTGGGTTCCCGTACTCCGTCAGCCGAGCTCGCTCGTCGACTCAAGTCGACATGGACGAAAGGAGCGGTGCGGCTACCACAACAGTCGATAAAGCAGTTTGCCGTGTGATTGGTGACGTCCACAAGATCCAGAGTGCCGGCAACCAGCTCCTCGGGTCACTGGGCACCAGGATTGGGTGACCACTATGACGGGAACACGGGTGTCTTTACATATATCAAGAGTAGGTCAAATAGTTATATGACCGCCGTTCAAGACAAGTCAAAAATGAACTCAAGATTTCAAATGAGCAATCTTCATAAATCAGCTGGAGAGGGGTCAGCATTGGGTCATAGAGCGTGTGCGCATAGTAGCAGAGACGAAGACGGAGAAGAGTAGCCACGGGGATGTGAGGGACGCAGACTGTGCGACTAGGCCAATGTGCGGGCCCGCGCTTCGAGAAAGCATGCATGTGTGTCGCCAAGGATCGATGCTGTATACATACGTGGATCAAGGACGTTCGTGAATGAGCGAACATGAAAGATGCAGGTGGTTGTTGGAAAACGTGATTTGTGAGCTCTCGCAAACAGTGACGTATGGAAGATACTCTTGATTGTATCTTGTTGAAACGGTCGACATGGCTACCCAGCAGAATGAGGTACTAATAGACGCATGTGCCCTCTCGTACGGCCGTATGGGTCATTTCGTCCTCTTTCTTTCATAACAAGCTTCGGCAGCGCGGGTTGGAATCATGCATCAAATGCAGGATTGACTTATGCTCCGCATCGGCTGTGAGGCCCAATCTCGTCGCTTTGGCATATCACGAGCTTCGGCAGGTACTAGGCGAAGCCTGACAGATGAGATCCCATGGAGGCGTGGGCTTCGAAAGACAAGTCTTCCCGGTCCTTGTGCCACGGAGACGGTTGGGGTTCCGTACGAGATGAAATTTCGGTGTGGTGTAAGCGAGGGGGATGTGTGATCAAGGCTGTCAAGGCCAAAGGGTGCCAAGGCCACAGACGTCTCGTGGACCGTGGACTGTTTCCGGGCTGGCGGGAGTCGTCTTCGTCCGAACCCAGGTAGCAGACTCATGGGACCCGAGACGGAGGATACTTTCCGAGAGTCAGTGCGCTGCTGCGCATCCGAATGCAAGGTCTCTCGTTCGACGAGCAGGTTGCCGCTGACCTGTCTCCTGCGTGAAGGGTGCCACGGCGAGTGGTGGGCTGGACCCAGAGACGAGGAACGGGGACGGTGCGTGCAGGGACGAGGGTTGGAGACAGTCCCGGCACAGCGCCTCAGGTTCTGCTATACTCGTTGTCTCTTGGAAGCAGAAATCGAACCGTCACGGCGGTCAGCGCGCGATGGAGAAGCGTTGTCTCGGGAAGGCACATGGTGGCTGCGGCCCAGCGGGCGTGCGGTCAATATGCGGCGATGTCTTGGCTGGGCGTAGTTGACGGAGACCACTTGGGCAGCGCTTGGCTATGCTTCTGGGCTCCGTTCATGAGCGTGCTATCCGATCTTGGGGTGTCGAGATGATGTCGGTGTTTTCTAAGGGAATGTTTCGAATGGAGGAGAGACATGCCACAGATAGATGTAAGACCCCAGGAGCGTAAAGGCGAGTACAATGGTGTGAAGCAATGGAAGCATCCGCCGGATGGGGTCGGTGCACAGGAGTACCCCCCGCCCAAACTGGTTGAGCGACCCGGAGGAGGTGATGCTTAGCGAGGACACGTGACGGCCCATAGTGATAGACAGCTGCCTGTCCCGGGCGTCCCCCGTCGTGGGCTTCATCACCTCGAGACAAGCTTCCTGTCGTACCATGGCGCCGTGCCCGCCATACGCCATACGAGGCGGACTCCGCGCTGCCGCGCGTGCCCGATGGATTTCGGTTACAGTCTCCATTGGACCTGATGCCGATTACTGATCCTCACTATGCGAGCTCGCTTGCGACCATCCAGTCCTCATTGTGCGCTCCGCCTGAGTTCATCTCCTTGCTGCAGGATGATCTTGTGAGTCTACCAAGAAAGAAGCAGAAGAGGAACGTCATGTCTTGGACGTATTGCCTTCGCCCTTTGCGTTGTCTGAGACGGAGTGGAAGGTCGCATGGTGATCCCAGGATCACGCAGTTGCAGTGGGTTACTACTTTTGTAACACATCAACTTCGCATTGCTAGTGGAGTTGGAAGGTTGGGATGGAGATTCGGGTCTACGTGGTCTTCGGAACTCACCTGGTCCATCTAATGCTCCGGTACGTAAGATGTAGGGAAAAGAAGAACGAGAGCGGAACGAGACAACTACGTTGAAATTTATGACTTTACTAAGAGGACGTGTTAAAGGCCAATTCCTAATGCAAAAGAGTCATAAATCTACTTTGAAACCCTGGCTTTTGAAAAATGTCAAAGGGGAGATACCATACCATACCATAACATCCCAAAGACTTGATTGACGATGGAATGTTGCTAATTTGGATGAAAACGATATGTAGTATAGCAGGGGGCAGATTTAATCGAGGTGCGTTTATAGAGTTGTAGGCTCCATCCAGGACTATAGACTCTACGGGTATACGTCGTAACTCCAGCTAGTCATGGAACTATGGCATTAAGATGACATATTCCTCATCGTCGCACGGATATCCCCCGCCCACCTTACCGTATCGAGCAGCCGGCCTCCGTCCGAGAAGTAGTGCCTCAACAGCGATCAACTTGCATTCGAGTCACAGTTTTCTCCTGCAGGACAAGGTGGTTCTTATACAGTGCGGTCATTCACAAACGCAAGGGGGTATACGAGGGCCATCACTTCAAAACCAGCCAGGCGGGACAAACAGGAATTGGTCAAGCTTCATGTATTTTCCCATGTCGGCAGCTCACAGACACGAACACCTGGTCCGCGGCTCATGACACGCAGGCAGGCCGTCAAGACAGAAGTCCATGAACATTAACAGAACGCAAAGCAAGGGAGGGCAGAGATCCTGGCGGGAAACCGACAGCGGAGTACTACATGACGTGTTGTGCTCCCCCCTCTCGGTCGATGGCCCCCGCGGCGCCGCGCGCACCCGGACAACACCGCCGTGCGCAGCATCTACTCGTCGTCGTTGATGTCGACGGCCGTCCGCTTCCACTTGCGCGCAGGCACCTTGCGCTTGAAGAGAATGTCGATCTCGCGGTACGAGCGGTCCTTCATCTCGGGCAGGAAGAAGAAGGCGAGGACGAAACAGGCGAAGCCCGTGCCGGCCCAGACGTAGCCGCACTTGCCGCCGAGGTGAGCACCCTGTAAGGGGGCATCTGTTAGCGCTCTGTTCGAGGAGGGAAGGACGGAGGGTATAGTGGGGAGGGGACGTACGGTAGTGCTCAGCATCCAGTTGCCGAGGAAGATGCAGGGAATGTTGACGAGGTAGTAGCAGCCGCGACCGATACCGGTGGTCAGGGGTCGCAGGCGGATGGCCGAGGTCTCGCCGATGATGACCCAGGAGGCCG